ATAGCATCTAAGCATAGTAAAACTGTCCAAGTCCATTCATTCTAGATTTTAACTTGATAGTTAGCACTAATTTATCTTGCTGTTGTAAGTTATCATTCAATATTCGTACCAATACATCAATATGCGCTCATCAGTCAACATTTTCTGGCATGATCCTGCTCAGCGTGCTCTTCAGTATTGCTCCAAGGTCTGCAATATTATAGCTTGTTTTGGACAATAAGCTCTTTTAATTTTACTTCTTCTTGCTGATATATGAGCCCGATCAACTTGCGTTCATCAACCAAAATTTCATAACTTGTTCAACTTGATATTGATATTGCTCAGTAGTCAGGACCTCTGTCAGCCTCCTGGACACTTCAGATTGTTTTCAGTCAACATACTTCTTAAATATGATATAAGTCAATCTTAAGGGATTCAAAACATCCAACAAAACGACGTACAAGAGCAAGAAAACCACCAGATAAACTAAAAAAATGGCCTTGAAACAGAGCCAAGTGGTGCTCCATTTGTTTGTTTACAATGATTGTAGTGCTGATGTATTTTTAGGACTCTGAACGTCGGCTTATAAAAAAATGAAACGTTTTTACAAAAGTTGTAAGACAAGTAATATTTATCTGAAAGAAATAAAATATTCAAAAGCCAAACACTATGAAATACATGAATCGGAACGAAAAAGTAACCCAAAAATCCAGCCTAATCACCGGCTCCTAAAACTGCAACACAATTAGCACTTTTCCCCGCAACTCGTTGTCCAGACGTAAATATGCTTCCCACACCCCATATACTGAGTATCTAAACCTCCTGGACCCTCTCAGATTCGGCACCGGCCGTTCCATCTCTTCCATCCTCAGGACAGTCAGATCCTTCTCCTCCACGCCGCAGCCCCCTGCTCCGGGCTGGACGGGCAACTCTATCCCATGTGGGAATGGCTCCACTGGAGCTATAGTCCTTTGCCGGGTGCAGTGAGTGCCAGTGGGCTGGGCTGCTTGTTCAATTGGTCGGGTTCATCCCAAGTGGCTCACTGGGGTGGCTGCCCAGACCAATGTCTCCCACTAATTCTTTCATACTTGCGGCTCTGAAATGGTCTCATTGGACCGAAGGGCCTAATCAAATTTCGAGTAGGATAACAACCAGTAAAACGCCTTTTGGGGCGACTAACGGAGCGAGCGAGAGGGTGGGGTGAGCCTTGCACGTGCGAAATTGCGAGGGGATACCTCCAACTAACTTGTGCACTGCACCCTTCTAACCGGTCCCTAACGATGTGCCACATTTGAGCGCAATCGGCCTAGCCGTTCTCGAGATCTGGAAGCGGCACCCTGCACGTGCGCACGTGCAAAATGGGTTCCAACTGACTTTTGCACGGCACCCTACTAACCGGTCCCTAACCATGTAGCATATTTCAGCACAATCGGTTCAGCCGTTCTCGAGATCTGGAATCGACCCCTGCATGTGCGCACGTGCAGCAGCACCCCACACTGAAAGAAAAAATGACACCCTGTACGGGGTATTGACGGTCATGTCAAAAATAACACCCGAGTGGGGTGTTTTGAGGGGAGTCGCTGAGCTATTATAAATGGGGTGTTTGGCGTACACCCCAGGAAGGTTTCGACGCATAGTGGGGAGTCGCAGCCGCTAAAGGGGGGTCAGCGCCGGCCCACATGGGGTTCCGTTAGACTGCAGGTGACACCCCTCAAATATCAGCCGAGCACCCCTTTTTGGTCCCTAAGCACCCGACAGGGTGTCAAACTCCCAAATTAGGGTGTAAAATATAGCAGCTCAACACTGAAAGAAAAAATGACACCCTGTACGGGGTATTGACGGTCATGTCAAAAATAACACCCGAGTGGGGTGTTTTGAGGGGAGTCGCTGAGCTATTATAAATGGGGTGTTTGGCGTACACCCCAGGAAGGTTTCGACGCATAGTGGGGAGTCGCAGCCGCTAAAGGGGGGTCAGCGCCGGCCCACATGGGGTTCCGTTAGACTGCAGGTGACACCCCTCAAATATCAGCCGAGCACCCCTTTTTGGTCCCTAAGCACCCGACAGGGTGTCAAACTCCCAAATTAGGGTGTAAAATATAGCAGCTCAACTCCCCTATTTTTCTGATATAACTCCCCATATTGTTCCTGACCCCCACGCGGGGAACCGCGCGTCTTCAGCAGGGAATCTCTCAGAGAAGTTTCACTCCCCTATACTTCCGAAAAACTCCCGGCGAGGATTAAATGTCTTTCGGAACGAGAATCTCAGACTATATTTATAACCGGGTGAGGAGTTACTCTTTCCGTTCGCGGCCTTGCGGCGCCCTGTAGTGTGCACGACCAACGTATGTCACGGTAATCAGTCTAGATATCATCATGATATAGTTGGCCACTCTACGCTATGCACGCTTTTGCCTTAGCTCCAAACATGCACCAGCCATTCGTGAAAAACAGGTCCCGATTTTACCAACTTTAGTTTGCGCCATCTATCGGTAGGATTTGAAGCTGAAAACACGGGGTGTCACTCCAGGATAATGACACCCCAGAGGGGTTTCAACGGGGGTGTCTCAGCGACACTCCAATTTTTTGGCCTGCAATTTTTGGGGAGTTCGCTAGCCGAACCTCTCCCAAGGGGGTCATGTACATTTTTGCGGCGTCAAAAGGTAATGGGGCTCCCGTGTCGGGTGTCACAACACCCATGACATCCTAAAATCATGAAAACGGAGCCTAATTTAGGAGTATTTTGGAGTATGTGGTGTCAGATTGTAAGAAATGGGGTTCCCCGATTTTTTTCAGTGCAACTGTGGCACATGGATATGCATTGCCTAGTGGGTATACCTACATGCCAACTTTCAGCGCAATCGGCCCAGTAGTTGCCGAGATATTGAAATTGTTACAAAACTGACACCTCTTCGTTTTTCACGTGGCACGTGCATATGGGGTCACTCACATGCATCGGGAATAGTCCGATGCTCGTTAGAAGGAATGAATCTAGTGCTACCCTACAATAATTACCGAAATCGGTCAAGTGGTTGCTCAGATATAAGCCTAGGAACAGCGTGACCACGGCATGTTCAGAAATTTCCGTTAACCTACGAAAGACTATGCTCGCTTCGCTCGCTCCGTAATGAGTTTGGGGGGACGTCCCCCTTCCATTCTGAGAGTGGGGGGACGCGTCCCCCCCGTCCCCCCGGTGGCGGCGCCCATGGGCCTCTCGGCTTTTTGCTGCAGAGCACGACGAGAGATGTGTAATGACATTTGGAGCTAGTTGAAGCAGATTCTGAGAATTCAAAGTCACTTTTCGCTACCGATGATTAACTGGGTGTTTCACTTCAATCCAGCACTGGAAGAACAGTGGAGTCAGTGAAAGAACGTCTCTACTCTAATCTGAAAAATTAAATGTCAGAGTCACAACAAGGAGGAAAGTGTTCCGTAATTCGGAAAATAAATGAGATGTCTTGCAAGTGTACTTTTTTCAAAGGGTCTTACTGTAATTGGGCATTACTAGGATGAACCACTGATACACCTTTGTTAGAAAATCAGGAAGATCAGAAGGGCAATCCTGACAAAATTGGTCGTGTTTCACCAGGACAATAAATCAGGGTATTTTTCACTGGTTGCAATGTAAACAATGAATTACTGAGCCTTCCAAAGTATCCCAAATTTAATCTTTTAAACAGCATTGGCATCCTTAGGGTGTCTATTTCTGTCTAAGCTTAAAGAAAAAACTGACTGGATGACGCTTCACAAAAAATAATGACGTCATTGACACCGCGAGCACTTACCCAAAATAGCATGATTCAAGGCACTATAAAAGTGAGGAAAAAAGTGCTAGGACTTCACAATTTTGTGTCCATTCATATCAATAGTGGCAAAATGTGTGACCAAAGTTTCATTAATCTGCGTCACCTGTAACTATGTTAGGCTCAAAACTTTTCATAATTCACCCTACGTACTGTCGCGAGCGCGCCGGCCGGAGCAGTGATGCCAAGACCCAGGGGCTGCTACGCTTGTGACTGATGGAAAGGGATGCGTGAACACCATCCATACCTATGGTCAAGCTGTCTTTCAAATTTGGCGCCGGACAGGCAGCTCAGGTCATCGTTAGGTGCGGTGGTGGGTCACGACAATATACGATTGAGCCCCTGGGAGTGAGACAAGCGGACGTTCGATAGTTTAGGGTCGCTTTCGCGCTTTTTTCTGCAATGCATCCTTTATTAATTTTTATTTTTTCTTCGATGTTTGAGTTTTGATCTATGGCTTTTTCGACATTTTTGTAATCGATGTTTTTGCCTTTTTGATGCCCGTCCAAAGGGATTTAATTTAATGCGTTTGGTATCTTCCGTGCACTATTTTGTCATTCGTTGCTTGTCTTTTGTTTTATTTTTCGTATTTTGCTTTTCTGTTCCACCCTCACATTTTTCGCTTTCTTCATTTATCTTGAATCTACTAAAATACACCCAGTAATTATTATCGTTGATATTGGATGACCTTTCAGAGCCGTTCGGCGCTTCCCGCTTGGTATACGCAGCCCATGGGAAACGAGTTAGCCGCCGTTCTGGTCGGGCATACCACCGCTCTGGCGCGTTCTAAGGAGACGTATAATGTACCATAGAATCTGCTCGTGACACGACAACAAAATGTGTGAACATGCTGCACAAGCACATACGTTTTGGGTACATAAAGCATACATATTGCGTACATTACTGCGATGAATAGTGAATGCCTATGTGCGGTGTACTCGTAGCTTCGAGCTGGTGTGGCGTAACTCGTGGGACATACATGCGCTGTGTATTGCGCAACTCTAGTGTTTGTTTATGAAACACTGCCAGGCCATATGCCGCTTGCTGATAGGACTTCATGCAGTTGGTAACCCAAACAATCATGGTAAAAGAAGCGATACATTACAAAGTCCCAATCCACGACAATACGTCTCCCAATGCGCTAGCTTTCTGGGAACGATATTTCAATAAGTGGTCAGCTATCCTCAGACTCCCTATAATTGTCATGCTCACCCACCATAGGGTCGGCGCTAAGGTCGGCGCTATAGGGTCGGCTCGTTTGACTGGTCAGCGGCCAGCATGTATTAGCCAATCTGTGCAGCCGAGGCCAGTGTTTGTGTACCGTCTCATGCGAGCAGTGCTGCCTGGAGCCGCGAGGGGACGGAGCTCGGCCGGCGTGCTGCATACGAGAGCCGCATCATCGGTAAGTCCATCCATTGATCATGGATAATGTCGTGATTATGAGTTTGAAGAATGATCTAGCTTAACCCGCGCCCCGCTGGGCTATTCAGCCATACGCGCCCTGCTGGGGGGGGGGGGGGGCAGATTCTGCCCCCCCCCCCTGTCTAACTTCCGAACCGATGGTCGTAGAAAGACGGGAAAAACGGCAATCGAAAGCTCTCAACGAGGCGAATCTTAAGAGCTCAATTTTTTTTTTGCATAAGTAGGTCAGAGGTCAGGTCAAGGTCAGGTCAAGGGTACAAAATGCAAGTTTCCACAGTATCGGCCTTGCACCGTAATTGCCGAAGAATGGACTGAGACTGATTGCCCAAAACGTGTTCTTAGGCTACCAAGATAATATTCGTTGCACTTACAATATCATTCAAAGGTCAAGGTCAAGGTCAGGTCAGGTCAGGTCAGGTCACCAAAAACAAAATATAGAAAAGGGCATGTGCGACACATGTTTTATGGGTCATTTTATTCATAGAATTCAATAGGCACACTCAATTAGTGTTATGGACCACCTCTGGATGAATGTCAGTTCGAGGTCAGGTCAAGGTCAGGTCAAGTGAGGTCAAACTTTGAAGTTGGTTGTTAAGGCCTAAAAAGGTGTCTATCTGATGCAGTTTTTCACGGCGAGTCGAATGGTGCTATTTTTGTTTCCGTACAAGGTCTAGAAGTTCCAAAAAATTCATTGTTCAAAAATTTTTCGTGTCGTGACGTCATAAAATTTTGAATAACTCCTACATTTTTGAACCGATTCTTCTCAAAATTGGTATGTAGGTGCACATAGACCACTTCTATGACATATATTTTGCTTTTTTCGATACATTAAAAATTTTGGATTTTATAATTATTTTCCCAAAAAAGTCGATTTTTTTAGAAATAAAATTTGGGCCAAAATCCAACATTTTCAAAAAACCGAGATAGCCGTTTGATAGACAAAGTAGAGTCACGTATAACCTTTTTTGTTACGTCTTGATTCCTTTAAAAATGAAGATGTTAGCGGCGTTTGAAATTTTGCGATTTTTTTGGCGAAAATGGCGAACATGACGTCACTAAAACGTCATTTTCTAAAAAACAAATCCGACGGATTTCGCTCAAATTTTTAGGGAACGTGTCAAATTGATGTATGATAAGGTACTGTAAGTTTGACGTTGCTGGCGTAACGCGTTTAGAAGTTATTGGCGAAAAACGGGAGGGGGTGCAGATTCTGCCCCCCCCCCCCAGCGGGGCGCGGGTTAACCCACGAGCCGCTGGGGGGCATAAAGTTGCCCCCCCCCCATACGTTTTGTGGAATATCTCCGAAACCTGATGAGCTATGAGCGTGAAACTTGGCATAGTTTCAAATGAATACCAAGCAATGTTTGAGGAAAGTTTGGTGGCTGTAGCACTTAAGATGACGTCACAGTGACGTCATATTTTTTGTCGTTTTCCGATATGGACCGTTTCTGATGTCGCTGAGCATGAAACACCCGTAAATGAACTAGACAGCACCTGCTGTAATCCTTAAACATCTAAGTACTTAGTACACTTCCAACTAGTTCCTGACCAATAATCGGTCCTTTACATTCGGTCTCATATATCGGATATATCGTGAGGAAACTGAGAGTCGCAAATCTATAATTTGACTTCTGACGTCATTGTGACGTCAATTCAAATGGGATCGACACCAAATTTGGACACAACCTCGGCTAGGTATTCAGGAAGAATGAAGATGTGTGCAAAGTTTTGTTTCTCTGCCTCTTCGCGTTGCGACGAAATCGTCGCAGATGTAAAGGGGGGGGCAACTATATGCCCCCCCCCCTCCCCTCCAGCGGCCGGTGAGTGTCGCGGAGGCCCAGCGGCCGCCGGGTTAAGCACTTTGTTTACCGTTTGGAATGGATAGGCGTCTTTTTGTGACCAATAAATGGGTGCTGTTCAAACAAATGACGTCCGGACCTTCCTAAAACATAAACATCATTATCATCAATCATCATCATCACCGGTGCCCCATGAAGCATTATTAGACGTGTTTACATAGGGTTTGTTGCAAGCTTATGTCTCCCTTCGTGATGTTGCAAAAGATGCTAATGGTGCTTAACAATTTACAAAATGATCCCTCTAAATATTTGAAGACCACTGCATCGAAATTATCGCCAAATAAACGAGCTAGAGCCTCGTCAAAAATGCTATGTAAACGCGGCTATGGTCGGCTGCATACGCCATTTAGGATAGCACATAGCATAGGTTACATGATTATACGGACACACGTATTTACGTTTCAGAAGTCAGCGATGACTTCCCCGAAGGACCTGGAGGACCTGTCCTCGGACGCCAATGTGCTCAGCCTGGCCTACGGCGGACACAACGAGGACATTCTCAACAAGGCCAAGGAGCTGCTGGCAGAGTCTACCCGACACGCGCTGGTAAGCGTCAACGCGATGAGGAGGAACTGTGAAGTGTGTGTGTGTGTGTGTGTGTGTGTGTGTGTGTGTGTGTGTGTGTGTGTGTGTGTGTGTGTGTGTGTGTGTGTGTGTGTGTGTGTGTGTGTGTGTGTGTGTGTGTGTGTGTGTGTGTGTGTGTGTGTGTGTGTGTGTGTGTGTGTGTGTGTGTGTGTGTGTGTGTGTGTGTGTGTGTGTGTGTGTGTGTGTGTGTGTGTGTGTGTGTGTGTGTGTGTGTGTGTGTGTGTGTGTGTGTGTGTGTGTGTGTGTGTGTGTGTGTGTGTGTGTGTGTGTGTGTGTGTGTGTGTGTGTGTGTGTGTGTGTGTGTGTGTGTGTGTGTGTGTGTGTGTGTGTGTGTGTGTGTGTGTGTGTGTGTGTGTGTGTGTGTGTGTGTGTGTGTGTGTGTGTGTGGTGTGTGTGTGTGTGTGTGTGTGTGTGTGTGTGTGTGTGTGTGTGTGTGTGTGTGTGTGTGTGTGTGTGTGTGTGTGTGTGTGTGTGTGTGTGTGTGTGTGTGTGTGTGTGTGTGTGTGTGTGTGTGTGTGTGTGTGTGTGTGTGTGTGTGTGTGTGTGTGTGTGTGTGTGTGTGTGTGTGTGTGTGTGTGTGTGTGTGTGTGTGTGTGTGTGTGTGTGTGTGTGTGTGTGTGTGTGTGTGTGTGTGTGTGTGTGTGTGTGTGTGTGGTGTGTGTGTGTGTGTGTGTGTGTGTGTGTGTGTGTGTGTGTGTGTGTGTGTGTGTGTGTGTGTGTGTGTGTGTGTGTGTGTGTGTGTGTGTGTGTGTGTGTGTGTGTGTGTGTGTGTGTGTGTGTGTGTGTGGTGTGTGTGTGTGTGTGTGTGTGTGTGTGTGTGTGTGTGTGTGTGTGTGTGTGTGTGTGTGTGTGTGTGTGTGTGTGTGTGTGTGTGTGTGTGTGTGTGTGTGTGTGTGTGTGTGTGTGTGTGTGTGTGTGTGTGTGTGTGTGTGTGTGTGTGTGTGTGTGTGTGTGTGTGTGTGTGTGTGTGTGTGTGTGTGTGTGTGTGTGTGTGTGTGTGTGTGTGTGTGTGTGTGTGTGTGTGTGTGTGTGTGTGTGTGTGTGTGTGTGTGTGTGTGTGTGTGTGTGTGTGTGTGTGTGTGTGGTGTGTGTGTGTGTGTGTGTGTGTGTGTGTGTGTGTGTGTGTGTGTGTGTGGTGTGTGTGTGTGTGTGTGTGTGTGTGTGTGTGTGTGTGTGTGTGTGTGTGTGTGTGTGTGTGTGTGTGTGTGTGTGGTGTGTGTGTGTGTGTGTGTGTGTGTGTGTGTGTGTGTGTGTGTGTGTGTGTGTGTGTGTGTGTGTGTGTGTGTGTGTGTGTGTGTGTGTGTGTGTGTGTGTGTGTGTGTGTGTGTGTGTGTGTGTGTGTGTGTGTGTGTGTGTGTGTGTGTGTGTGTGTGTGTGTGTGTGTGTGTGTGTGTGTGTGTGTGTGTGTGTGTGTGTGTGTGTGTGTGTGTGTGTGTGTGTGTGTGTGTGTGTGTGTGTGTGTGTGTGTGTGTGTGTGTGTGTGTGTGTGTGTGTGTGTGTGTGTGTGTGTGTGTGTGTGTGTGTGTGTGTGTGTGTGTGTGTGTGTGTGTGTGTGTGGTGTGTGTGTGTGTGTGTGTGTGTGTGTGTGTGTGTGTGTGTGTGTGTGTGTGTGTGTGTGTGTGTGTGTGTGTGTGTGTGTGTGTGTGTGTGTGGTGTGTGTGTGTGTGTGTGTGTGTGTGTGTGTGTGTGTGTGTGTGTGTGTGTGTGTGTGTGTGTGTGTGTGTGTGTGTGTGTGTGTGTGTGTGTGTGTGTGTGTGTGTGTGTGTGTGTGTGTGTGTGTGTGTGTGTGTGTGTGTGTGTGTGTGTGTGTGTGTGTGGTGTGTGTGTGTGTGTGTGTGTGTGTGTGTGTGTGTGTGTGTGTGTGTGTGTGTGTGTGTGTGTGTGGTGTGTGTGTGTGTGTGTGTGTGTGTGTGTGTGTGTGTGTGTGTGTGTGTGTGTGTGTGTGTGTGTGTGTGTGTGTGTGTGTGTGTGTGTGTGTGTGTGTGTGTGTGTGTGTGTGTGTGTGTGTGTGTGTGTGTGTGTGTGTGTGTGTGTGTGTGTGTGTGTGTGTGTGTGTGTGTGTGTGTGTGTGTGTGTGTGTGTGTGTGTGTGTGTGTGTGTGGTGTGTGTGTGTGTGTGTGTGTGTGTGTGTGTGTGTGTGTGTGTGTGTGTGGTGTGTGTGTGTGTGTGTGTGTGTGTGTGTGTGTGTGTGTGTGTGTGTGTGTGTGTGTGTGTGTGTGTGTGTGTGTGTGTGTGTGTGTGTGTGTGTGTGTGTGTGTGTGTGTGTGTGTGTGTGTGTGTGTGTGTGTGTGTGTGTGTGTGTGTGTGTGTGTGTGTGTGTGTGTGTGTGTGTGTGTGTGTGTGTGTGTGTGTGTGTGTGTGTGTGTGTGTGTGTGTGTGTGTGTGGTGACGGTCGATTGCGCTTACGGTGTTGGGTAAAAATGGGAAACGTGCATTATTCATCCCATATTTTTTAGTGGAAGTCAACGTAATCATTTCGGCCTAGGCTAACATTCCCGTTAAATCACTTATTCATCATAACACTAATAAGCCTGGCCATGGTGCCACTGTTCCTGACAGGAGGTGGAGCCGCCGACCTGTCCAAACCTGAACTACGGCCCGCAGCTGGGCAGCGACAGGTTCCGCTCGTCACTGGCATCGTTCCTGTCGCGCCGATACGGACGAGAGGTGAAGAGGTGAGCCGTGGAACGATCAACGAGTCACCATTGCTGACTCTACTAGCTTTGAAAGCCCACCTTATGAAATAAATCAATAACAGTTACCTGTAATAGGTACCCATACTATTTTATTTAGACGGGTTTAAGCTCGTGCCGTCTTCCAAGCTTTCTTCGAATTGTTTACGGCAACTGAAGCACCAACTGTCCCTCTCGAAGCCCTTCGCCTGTGCTTACCTTCCTGGTCTGACCGGCCGGTCGGCGCAGCGAGCGGCTGGTGCTCACGTGTGGTGCCACACACGCCCTCCACCTGGTGACGTCACAGCTGTTCAGCGAGGGCGGTCTGGTGCTGGTGGAGGAGCCCTCCTACTACCTCGCCCTGGGGCTGCTCAAAGACGACCTCGGCATGCGACTGGTGTCCGGTGAGTGGCGAGTGCTGATAGCTGGCAGACACAGTGTGCAGTGACAAGTTAGGTGCCTACATCTCATTGTTTGCCCGATGTTCAACAATATGAAACACACTCTTCGTCGTCTATTTATATGTCGTGTTTTTAGTCCCCAGAATTGCCGGCCAATTCGGCTGACTTGAATTGGACTGACTGATTCTGATGGCCGGTGTCACACCTGCAGTGCCTCTGGAGGAGGACGGTCCGAACCTGGCCCTGCTGGAGCAGCAGCTGACCAAGCTGCGGGCCGGCTGCCAGTTCACACCCACACCACGGCGTCCGTTCTGGTGTCTGATGTATCTCATCCCGGACCACCACAACCCGACCGGCGCATCCATCTCTGAAGGTAAGACGAAAGACCGCGCCGAAATTTAACCGAAGCCTTCAACGTATAGGACGTTGAACTGGCAAAGCCGACCGATCGGATATTTTCTGAGGCAACGAAGCAGGTGTTTGCATTTTCTTCTTGACGTCGTACTTGCAATGCCTACTTTCTTTTTACTCAGTAGAACAAATATTTCAGCGCATGGACTGTTAAATCGTAAAAGCTGTGCCGCGACGCACTTCTGCATTGCGGTACAGCCTACCTATCAGCACAAAACGATTTGAGCTGACTCTGCCCGACGCTGTTCTTTCTTCGGTCTCAAGTTGGTTTTTTCGGCATTTCCCATGCGGACGAATACAATGAGCAACCGCGGGAAGTGACTGAGTGCCTTTTTTACCCTGATCCTTGCCTATGCCATTTGTTTTCGAACAGAGAAGCGCCGTGGCCTGGTGGAGCTGGCCAGGCGCTTTGACGTCCTGCTGTTCTGCGACGACGTCTACAACCTGCTGACGTACCCGCCGGCTCGTGTCGGTCCGCTTCTAATCACCTACGACCATGACTCGCCTCCGACCCCGGGCGTGACCCCGCCGACCCCAGTGGGTCACGTGGTCTCGGCAGGAACGTTCTCGAAAATTTGCGCCCCGGGCGTTCGAGTCGGCTGGCTGGAGGCGCCGCCACGCATGATAGAGATCCTGTCAGAATCGTAAGTTTGGGGAGGGAAGGGTAGAAAACGCACCGACTGACAGCCATCAGCTGACTGTTCGTCCAGTTACGTTACCATGACACAGCTTCTTGGAGATGGTCGAAAATCGATCATAGTTGAAGAAGATTGCGCTTGACGGTTTTCTGTTTTATGTGACATTTTACGCATCCCATCGGGAAATTATGAACATCCTATCGGAAAAGTGGGTGATAAAAATCATTCAACAGAAATATAACAAAATTGTTTTGTGTAATCTGATAATAGAAAATATTGCCAAATTATCGAATAAATGATAAGGGGAGAACCATCAACCTTTTAATTGCTTTTAAGTGCCAGCCCAGCCTTGCAAAATAAGCGACGGCATTGTTATTCGCAGGAAGATTCTGTTCTCTGGCGGTGCTGTGAACGGTTTCATGTCGTCGGTGATGGCCAGCGCCATCCAGCTGGGGTTGCTGGACAAACACCTTGACGGCATCATCGCCGTCCTTCAGGTCAGTAACTGGTACCGGACTCTGCAGAGCACATTTTTCCAGATTTAGTGACCGTAAGATCAAAGATGCTCATTTGTCCTAGAAACGTCGCTCAATTCTCAAACATAAAACGTCTAAAACGTTTAGCTCGAGCAAGTCGGGTCGATCAAGTCTCATAGTTCACCGCTCAGATCAATTGTCCGAGCTTCCAATGCCATCGTGCAAAAGCTCGTTTGTTGGATGAGAAAAGCTGTGTCCTGTGAATCACTTGGATGGTCAGTTTCCGAAAACGCTGAAAGGGCGTGACCGTTTCAGTAGCGCCCTTGTCTTTGCGTTTCGTGCGTTGCCCGAGCTCATTGACTACTGCACCTACATAGTCAGAACATCTGTCTAAAGCCTCCTCTTTCATTCCAGGAGAAACTGGAGCTGACCTTAGCCTTCCTGGGTCGGACTCTGCCACCGGAGCGGTACCAATGGAGCGTCCCCTGCGGCGGGTTCTATGTCTGGCTGTGCTGCCCGTTCGACACAGTCCCGTTCGCCGCCTGGTGTGAGAAGAACCGCGGCGTTCTCGCGCGCGCCGGCGCCGCGTTCTCAGTGAATGGCAGCGGCTGTCAGCATCACCTGAGGATCAGCATCAGCTACCTCAGCCGAGACACTCTGCAGGAGGCTCTGTCCAGGCTCTGTGACGCCCTGCTCGAGTATGAGGCAGAACACGGTGGAAAGTGATGCTGGCAGTGACTCTCGGACGTCACCGGAGGGCGGTGATGTCTTGTTGGTGTATGGTGCCGAGCGAAGTGATAATTGATGTCATTTGTTAACGTATCCCACGGGTCTGTGACGAGTTTAGAGGCTCTGTGATGCCTTGGTCGCGTATGGGGCTAGTGAAGGTGTCTTGCAATGCATATTTACTTGAAAGCTCAATAATACATCCGGTTCTTATAGTTTTTTTTTTTTGCATTTGTGAATTGTGAATATAAGTAGTAGGTACCTATTTTGGTTGGCAGCCATTGTTATTTATAATATAGTGTTAAAAAATGTGATGTGCCTGCACCAATCATGCTTGTGCGCAATCTATCAACTCAAATGCAATAACTGATTAACACAAGACAATTCGAACGTAAAATAGTAACGCCTCGACTAAATAACTTTAACAGCAACATTTGTTGGTGCAGTGAGCTAATATAATAAGCCAACCTACCGCCGCCTGAAAACAGAATAGCATTTGATTTGTGCCAACCATAAGTACCTGTTACTGGCCCAAAGTCGACTTGGTCGACACAACATTTGTATGACTATACGAGTTTGATGTAACTAAAGTCTCTAAGGGGTGTGGCGGTTGTAAACACCCCTGCATCTGACGCCATCGTGACAGCTAGCCCGCCTGGTCGCTAACTCCGTCCCGTATACAAATCGGACCACACGGCTGCCATGTTTGGAATACGACCGTAAACACTTCATGGTATGACCGCACGACAGCTGACGACTGAGATGGTGACCGAATCGTTCGCTGCAGCAGCGGGGATGGGCCCGTTCGAGGTCACCACTCGGTGTGATAACCAGTAACTGATGCATTGCAGCTAGGAAATGTTTGCTCATTTTTGACGTAAATGTCAGGATCGTTTAGACTGTCTTGTCACGCTTCTGACAGCACTTGACATTTGAACTCATCCCTCATGAGATCGATAACATTCGTTCTCAGTCATGCATCTTTTTGCTGAACTAACGTGAATACGGCTGTCTCGTTGCTGCAATGATGCATGGTCACAGCTAACAATCCGTAATTTCGAAAACACCGATATGAACTGTGACTCAGGACTGTCGTCAGGAAATTTTCGATTCTCGTTGCCAGCTCGCTGTGGCCGGCGGTTCGAAATCGATATATACGGTCCCGAACATTGGAGCAGACTGCAGACGTCCACAGCGATTAGCGAAGCCCGACGGCTGGTAAACCTCCTGAGAACCAGATTGTCAGCCCATTATATAGTTGCATGCCTACAGTGCACAGTGCTCCGTTACACATGTCGCCAGTTATTCTAAAGTTGGCATGAGCGGGTGGGTATGGGAAAGCTGAGTGAAACCAGGCACAGGATATGCGCCGTGCCGTTGTATATGTTGATAGATAGTGCGTGCGACCTTCGTCTGAACTATTACCGTTACGATAAAACTTGGTCAATGAGTGCTGACTGGGGCCGCCGTCCATGAATTGCGTTCTTCATCATGAGACCATATCTATGGTGTTTTGAATAAAAAGTTCGATAGGCATTTCTGTATACCCTATCTGAGCGGAGACGACAATAATTTAATCAGAGTGGGCTAATCTTGAGTGAGGTCGTGGAAAAACAGTCGGGTATCTACAGGATGATGCACCTATCCGGGACAGCCTCCAACAGGTCTGTAAATCAGCACCATGCCGCAGCAGTCGGCCTCCTACCGGAAATCTGTGCAGTGTGCTTCTCGTCTTAAAGGTAGTGTGCCAGCTTTCCTGGACCGTATGGAGTTAATGGTCCAGATAAGGAGAACCGGATTTTTAGAACTTATCCATTCCTTTAAAACTCATGGAAACGTCTTAAATTCTTCAAATTTTGAGTACCCCAGTGCGAAATTCGCCCCGACGGGTTGTCGGTCGTACCCCAACCACATTTCACACCACTATGAACAATAGGTAAATGCACACACTGAAATCGCTATTACCGATATGCTCATCCAATCAAGTTTCGATAAACCCGTTCATCATCATCTCCTGCGGTTTCGAACACGCCTGTTAGGTGGTGCGGTAGACCGCGCCCAAAGCCAGGGCCCCGGTAACGTGAGGTAGCCGAGTCGGGGCAGCGTGCGCTGACCTAAGCCGGGGCCGCGCGTCCTCCCGGTGTCATGTGATAGCCCGGGGCTGCCCGCGGGGATGCGGTAGACCGCGCACAAAGCTGCGGCCCCGGCTTGGGTCAGCGCACGCCCGAGCCCGACTCGGCTACCTCACGTTACCGGGGCCCTGGCTTTGGGCGCGGCTTCTGCTCATACTTTGTGGTGCAGTGGTGGTGCGTCGGGCCGCGCGCTCTGACTTCGGCCAAGAAAAATGCGTCAGCTGATCATTGTCATTTCTGCCACTTGCGCGTGGTGAAATGGGGTCATAACTTAAGAGGCAGCTTTTTATATCAATTATTTTACATAAAATCATATTTCAAACCATAAATAATGTTCGACAGCCAAATAAAAGAAACAATACCAATACAGGCTTACAGTTGAAGGCTCGACATTGTGTTGTCTACGATTAGACAGCTGATAACTCATTCCCGTACGTCGTAACTCTATAATGACCTTTGCTTATTGTCACATGTGCGCCGCATTCGCGATTGTTGCCGACGCCTGTTTGCAGATCAGCCCACTACAGTTGTTATACATATCGAAAAACCGATAAACTTTTAGGCGAAAAAGGCACTATTCCAGGCCCATTTTTTATTTTCTTTGCGATATTAGGTAAAAACAGAAGCTTCTTATCCTAGGAAAAATAAAATGGGAAATCTTTCAAAGGTGGCACACTACCTTTAAGTGTCATGATTGCAGCATAGCCCGAATCCTCGTCGTATAACACCGGCACTCAGCCCAGTCGCCTGGGTCGTCGGATGTATAAAAGCAAAGGCATGTGCCGGATATGTAGACCGGCCGTGACGCCACCCTCAGCGGCCAGCGCACTATTGAGAAAAACTGGCCCGTTGTTGACCTGGCCTGGGTTGGCGAAACCTTGTGTAGACCAGACAGTGGCGGATCCAGGGGGGGGGGGGGCAAAATGGGCATTTGACCCCCCCCCCCCAACGGCATAATTTTAACATTACGCCTATGGACGATGCATGGAAAGAATCGATAAATTGTTATGGTTTGCCCCCCCCCCCAAAAAAAAAAACTCTGAGCTGGATCCGCCTCTGAGACCAAAGCTGTGAATTGTTAGGTACTCCAGCTAGAGAGCAGAGAGCAGAGCCTGGTGACCCGGGTAAGCCCGGCCCCGGCTCGAGTCGGTGGCTGGTGCGGGCCCAGAAGTGTGGAGTGAGGACTATGGGCGTGTGATAGCGGCTAGGCGAGCGCGCGGAAGGTGGTCACTGGTCACAGGCATGGATTCCGATTGTTGTCGTCTGCCACTAAACAAATGCGTTCAAAACTTTGTTTTAGAACATGGTGTACGAAGGACCTTGCGAATTTATTCACACCCTGGAGCAAATCCGTATAAGAGCCCTGCCTTACCGTGAGCCCTGCAGAGTGCAAGGCGCAGGCTGCAGGCGCCAGGTGGCATCCCTCCTCCGCCACCACCGCGGTCACTTCTGGCTAACACCCATGCACGCACCCGCACTTCTTTCCGTTTAACCGTTCCTAATTCCATTATTTCTAGCTTTACCTTACCTTACCTTTAAAGTGATCGGGATATGTAAAGGCAAGTAAGCCTGGAGGTCCCGCTCTCATCGAACTCATGTGTTCCGTTCTCACTCGACTCAGTCGGTGTCAGGCACCTGATGATACTGAAGCGGAGCCCAGTGGCATAGGCGGCGGAACGGGGAGGGCACCGGGGCACCGTGCCCCCTTTGATTTTGGCATTTTAACATTAGCCCTATGGGCGTTGCATGGAAAGAATGGGACCAAAAGTTGGCAGTGCCCCCCCCCCCCCCTTTAACCCGCGCCCCGTTGGGCTCTGCCGAGCAACGCGCCCGGTTGGGGGGGGCCATTTTGCCCCCCCCCCCTAAGATCTCGAGAACCACGCAACATAGCGACAAGCGGTAAACGGCATTGGATAGCCCCAACGGGGAACTACCTTGTGACCCAATTTTATTGACCTAGGTCAAACCGATGACGTCACAGGTCAGGTCAAAGGTCCAATTTTCACCGTTTACAGGCATTTCAAGAAATGCGTTGTAAAATCGAGTAAAATGCATTTCATTGAAAATCATCGATGGGAAAATGTTCTTCAAACACATATTTTGCTATTTGAGGTCACTGATACCAGGTCAGGTCACAGAGGTCAGGTCACGGGGGGTCACAATATGAAAGTGTCGTGTGATACATGTTTTATGGTCCATTTTACATGACAAATGCGAGTATGTGGGTCATGCAGCCTTTGGGGCCAGCTTAGGTCACGTTTTGGTCAAGGTCAGGTCAAGGTCAGGTCAAGGTCAGGTCAAGGTCAGGTCAAACTAGGTCAAATTTCAAAGTTAATATTTTTGCATAAAATGGGTATCAAAGCGATGCAGCTCGTCACGGGGAGTGCAATGGTGGTCTTTGTTTTGCCGTACGTGGTCTAGAATCGCTAAAAATTGAGTTCAAAAATTTGACGTCATCAATTTTGAACAGTTTTTTCGCTATAACTTGGCCAAAAAAAGAGATATCGATCTGAAATTTGGTATGTATATAGAAGAGCGCTGGGACTATCACATATATTCCGTTTTTTTTTTTCGAAATTCGGAAACATTTTGGATTTTTTTTAAAGCTTTAAAAAAAAAATCAATTTTTTGATTTTTTTTTTTGTCAAAAACCAAAAATTTTGAAAATCCGAGATAGCAGTTTTGTAGCGCCGCTTTTTGTCTACTAGACCATGTAAAGAACTTTGAAATCGCTTGATAACTGTAGATTTAGTGAGCGTTTCAAGATTGCATGTTTTTTGCTCATTTTTGCTCGAACATGACCTCAGTTTGACCTCAATAACTCCTGACCTAAGGTGACCTAAGACTTGAAATTTGGTGTGAAGGTGTCAAATTGATGCCCGGGAAGGTACTGAAAATTTGGCGGCGCTGCGCGCCGTCGTTTTCTTGCTATTCAGGAAAAACCACAGGGGTGGGCCAAAATGGCCCCCCCAACGGGGCGAGGGTTAATTGAAGGTGTTCGGCCGCCCAGTGGGCATCCAGACAGCTTTTGAATACGTTCAGCGAAGGAGAGCCCAGCGGCATCGGTTCAGCGAAGGAGGTAA